TAAAATAAATAATGTAAAATTTTAAAAAAGAGAATCCTTCATCTTAATATTTAACTCTGAGGCTGTCTTGCTTAAGCTGCATTCCAACAGACATTACATAAGATATTGAACAATAAAACTGACAAGAAAGGGAAAATGGTACCATTAAAGTCTTACCATTAAAGTAGAATTTCAGCCTATTGGCAAAAACATTGGTTGACGGGATATTGAGCTTTGAAGCAACGTGCTCTACAATACTCCTAAAGCCACCAGATATTAGGAAAACCTGAACATTTCGCTCTTGGAGGCGACTTACTAGCTCCCTGAAAAAAAGAAATATAAAACACCAAAATGATTAATATAAAAGAGAAAACATGAAACATGAAAAGGAAACTAAAATACATTTTTTTCTTCTCAAAGCATTTGCCCAAATATATTGGATAAGGTATATTGCCTGGTTAATTATAATGTTTTATGTATTTTTTAAAAGATTTTTTTTTATTTATTTAAGAGAGAGCGAGAGCACACAGAGAGGGAGAGGGATAGAAGCAGACTCCCCACTGAGCAGGGAGCCCGACACAGGGCTTGATCCCATCCCAGGACCCTGGGATCATGACCTGAGCCAAAGGCAGACACTTAACAACTGAACCACCCAGGTGCCCCATGTATGTTTTTCTAAATGGCACTAAATTAATAGGTGGGGCTGGACTGCTTAGGAAACCATCCCACAACTCTGTTCTGCCCATGAATCTAGAAACACAAAATGAAGAGGAAGCTTAGGCTCTCCCTCGGGAGAGATGACTTGGGCAGGGCCAACCACTCAGACAGGACCACACGTAAGAGCTGAAAGAAGCAGGCAGAAGGGGAGGACTAGAGCGATGATGAGATACTCTCAAGAGGACATGCCCCAAAATGCAGGTGCTGACAGAGACAGCACCCAGACCGGGGCTCCTCTTACCTTATGCCCGGGGTCAGGTGTGGGGGGTGCTCTGCTATGAGTCTTTGCACCTGTTCCCTGGAGGGCTGGATCAGAGCTAAGCGCTCTGTGAGGGCAGCCTTGAAAGGCACTGCCCCTCCCATGGCTCGCCGTGTCCTAGGAGGAAGACCCAACAATCAGGCTAGCCGTGTCAGATGTCCCTGAAGTCTACACCTTACCTCCCCAGCTTGTCCAACGTCCACCATGAGGAAGGTGCTGCCTAGAGCCCCACCATACAACAGACATGCTACAACGCCATGGGAGCAAGGCCTGGTAATACACTTACTGAAAGTTTGCTTGAGAATCATATTAGTATTTGTGGCCATGTCTTGCAGCAAAGGCAGCCGGACATGAAATGGTCCGTGACCTGGTGCCTGCAGGCAGCAGTGCGGAGGGCAGGAAGGAGGGAAGAGTCTCACCCAGGCAGAAGCTGAGAGACTCTGAACCAGAACTAGCTTTCTAGCAAACTACTAAGGCTACACATTCAACCACGACACAAAGCACTGGACGCTTGGTGATCCCCCACCTCGTCATCTTCTCTGGTTCATTATGGCCATCGTTTCCCTGACTGAGCTAAAAGCATGTCATCCACATTTATTTGTAAGAGGCAACAATTTTTTTTTTTTTTGGTCATAAGAATTTGTATAAATGGATGACTGGATGACGTACACTAGCTAATTCAGCTCTGAGTGATGGAAGAAGCTTACTGCCCATGATTTGCTGTCAGGGACTAAAAATCGGGGAATTGTGGCCCTGGTCCCGCATGTCATCCGAAAGTCACTCTCTTTTGCAATTCTTTATCATTTCATAAAGTGAATAAATACTGTTCCTACATTTCTGACACAGCATCCTCAACTCCACAGAATTTGGCTAGCTCATCAATTCCTTCTTCTCTGATGACTGTGCTATCAACATCAAAGCATACTGCGTCAGCTGAACAGAAAAGTTTCCTCAACTCTGAATGGGAGACCATCCTTGGAAGAATCTTCCTCCTACAACAGAAAAAGATAAATATATTTGAAGACCCATCATCATAAAAAGATCCAGTTTTGCCTACTAATGCCAATCTACTTTGATCTGTATCAAAGTCAGCATATCCCACATAAACATGGACTCATGGGCTCATTGGTTTTGTTTTGTTTTTTTTAAAGATTTTATTTATTTATTTGAGACAGAGAGAATGAGAGAGACAGAGAGCACGTGAGAGGGGGGAGGGTCAGAGGGAGAAGCAGGCTCCCTGCCGAGCAGGGAGCCCGATGCGGGACTCGATCCAGGGACTCCAGGATCATGACCTGAGCCGAAGGCAGTCGCTTAACCAACTGAGCCACCCAGGCGCCCGGGCTCATTGGTTTTTTAACACAAAGTAAGCACCTTCTAAATGTCCGGCTCTGGGGATACACAGATGTACAGGACCAAACTCTCCTCTACTGAAGGTACCAACTTATAAATATATTTGATGTTCAACCAATATTCGGCTATTTTTGACCCGACAATTATTGCAATAAGGCAAGTTCTGAAGTGAAAATATGCATAAGATAGTAAAGATATTATGGGTACACAGAGAAAAATGCTTAACCTTGCCTATGAGACAGGGCTTCCAGGGGCATACAAATTCGAACCGAATCTTGAGTGGGTTGTTAAAGGACAGGGTATCAGTTTGGTGGGTGCTGGGAGTAGGGGGCAGGGAGATGGAGGAAAGAAGAGAGGGTAATGATGGCAGAGAGAAGAGCAGGGGCAAAGGCAAGGAGCAAGAATGATGGACGACATGCTGGAAGCTGCCCAGTGGAGTCCGACTGCCAGGCGGTGCACCAGCGGGGCCCTGGGCCAGGCTGGTGAGTTTGGATTTTAACATCTAGGTAATGGAAAACCTTGAAACTTTTGCCACAGAAGAGAGGGGAGAGCTGAACTGCACATCTGTTAGTCACCAGTACAGAGGCGGTAAGTGAGGGCATGGCCTGATGAAAGTCACCAGAGAATGGAGAGAGAAGGGAAAGAAGAGGGCTGAGAACAGAGCCCGCAGGAACAGAAAGGATCAGATCAGGAGCCTGGGAAGAAAAGGAAAAGGAGGTCAAGATGCACAGGAAGAGACTGAGAGACCACAGTGCTGCAGAAACTATGGAGGACAGAGTTTCAAAAGGAATCCTGTGGGGTTTTTTATTTTTTAAGAAAATCGCTGGACTAGAATCTTAGGGGTAAATGGGATCCTAGAAGTTGCCTAGACCCATCTCTCATCAAATATGTCATGTACGAGGCCACACAGATGATGCAAATAACCTATATTTAGAATAGACACTGGCTAAAAACAGACTCAAAGGGGCTGGCCAACACACTTCACAACTGATTTCTAACCAGACATTTTACGCCAGCGGCTGGCAAACTATAGCCAGTAGGCCAAATCAGCCTGTTTTTGTATAGCCTGTGAAGTAAGACTAATTTTTACATTTTTAAAAAATTTTTTGTCAAATAGGATCCACCCAGCATGGAGCCCAACCCAGGGTTTGAACTCACAACCCTGAGATCAAGACCTGAGCTGAGATTAAGAGTTGGACACTTAATCAACTGAGCCACCCAGGCACCTCTATATTTTAAATAATTGAAAAAAGAAATCAATAGAATAAAACTTTGTGACACACGGAAACCGCATGAACTTCAAAATTCAGTGTCCCTAACTAAAGTTTCAGTAGAATACAGCCACGTTCACTTGCTTATGTGTCCACGTCTGCTTTCGTACAACAGAGGAGGATCAGTAGCTGCAAGAGGTTGAAAGGCCTGCAAAGCCTAAAATATTTACTACCTGGCCTTTGACAGAAAAATTGCTGACCCCTGTGAGGAACCCTTACAAAAGAGTGCTCTTCATGGGAAACAGGAGTTTCACAGGAGACCCACTAAAATGGGGGAAAGAGGAGGCAATTCATGAATCCAATGATAATAGAATATTAAATAGAATATTAAACTAATATCAGCCTCAATGTAAATGAAGTTTCCATTAAACAGAGACTCAGCTCCTTTGCTCGTTGCTCCTCTTGCAGTCTCTTAATGTTGCAATGACCACCTCTGGTCTTCTCTAACCATACTCACTCCCTCGATGAATTCATCCGGGCCCGTGGCTTGAAATGTCACCTCTAGGACAGGAACTCCCAAATCTGTACCTGGAGCCCAGTCCTCTCTCCCAAACTCTCAACTCAAACCACCTACCTGACCTCCACTAAGGTGCTGGGAAACACCCCAAACTTCGCATGCCTAAAACTGAACTCCTGATCTTCTTGTCCCGCCAAAACTGCCATTCTTGCACCTTCCTTCTCTCCCTTGATGGCCCATATCCAATCATTCAGGAAACTATGTTGGTTCTACCAACCAAAATCTGACCACTTCTTACCCTATCCACTGCTATCGCTCTAGCCTGAGCTACCAGTGTTTCTTGCCAAGACGGTACCAAGAGCCTCCCAAAAGGTCTCCCACCCATTTTTGTTCTCAACATAACAGCCAAAGTAATCACTGTAAGCTAAAGCCAAATCATGTCACACTTCTAGCTCAAAATCCTTCAATGGCTTCTCATTTTATTAAGAGTAAAAGCCAAAGTTCTTGCAATTACCTGTAAGGTCTGCCCCCTACCCTCATACCACCTCCACACCCTCCCCATTACACCTCTGACCTCATTTCCTACTCATCTCCCCCTTGCTACTCTGCTCCAACCACACTGGTCCTCCTGCTGTCCTGGAAATGCACGGACCAGGCTTCCCGCTCAGGGCCTTTAGTCCAGCTGTGCCCCTGGTGGGAATGCTCTTCACTTGGATACCCACTTGGCCAATCCCTTATCAACAGTTTGCCCAAACAACATTGTGTGTCAACTATACTTCAGTTAAAAAAAAAAAATGAAATTTTAAAAAACGAGTTTGCCCAAGTATCACCTTTTTCCATGAGCCAACCCTAACCACCCTATTTATGACTGCAACCTCTCCCTCCTTATCCTTAACCCAACTTTACTAATATCCCTCACTATGCCTTACTTTTTCTTTTTTCCATAACATCTATCATCTTCTAACATATGATAAGATATACTTATTATGTTTATTATGTACTATCTATCTGTCCTAATTAGGATGTAAATTTCACAAGCGTAGGAGCTTTATCACCTTTGTTCACAGCTGGATCTTTAGGACTGAGAACAGTACCTAGCATATAGTAGGGCTTAATAATATTTGTTGAATTAAGTGAATGAATAAAGCTCACATGCCGTCTTCACTATAAAGTCTCCCCTGATTCCCTGGGGCTGGAAAAAATTTCTCCCCAGAACTTCCACAGTACTTTATGTAGACCTGTTTTCAATATATGAAATCCATAATATTCCTACTTATCTTAAACTTATTTATGTGCATGTCACCTCCACTCCTGGATCGCAAGCTTTTTATACTAAGATCCAAAATTTTCCAAAATACTTATTCTGAGCCTCTTTTGAGTAGATGATCAATTAATTTCTGAAGGTTGAATGAATAAATGAAATGATATAACCGTGAATTACATACCCACAACTGTTTTTTTAACTTTTTATTGTAGAGAATTTCAAATACATACAAAAACAGAAATAATGAATACATGAATTCCATATATGCATCATCCTCCTTCAACAATCATAGCAAATCATGCTTCATCAACAACCCCAGTAAAAAGGGTTCTGTACCCCAATTCCAACATGGAGCGATTCCTATATATCTGAGCAATTCTTAGACACCAGCATAGTGTCCCCTATAAGTCAATTCAATTCTGACACTATCTACCCAGATCGCACCAGATTCCACAGGTTAAGGGTTCAGTTCCACAAAACTGGACCCCCCACACCACACACACAAACACACATACACAACTTATGCTCAAGGTATACAGAGGATGTCTTGTTCCTTAAATATGTCATGGTTTTTGAAACCTCTATGCCTTTGCAAATGCTGTTCCCTCTGCCTGAAATCACCTAATCCCTCATACCCAGTGGGCAAATTCCTATTTATTCCTCAAGATGAAGATTAAATAACCTTCCCTATACTACATTATCTCCTTCCTACTCCTTCAGAGAATTAATTAATCACTCCCATTCCTCTCCTTGATTGAAATATCTTTCATCTCGGTTTCCAGGACCCAGCAGGTGTAAAGTAAATGTTTCATAAATTAAATAGAGTTGAATCTAAGAAGTTATTGAGAACTCAGCAAGAATTGAGATTATTGTTCTCAATAAAACTATTCCAACTTAGAGTGCTATTAGCCTAAAATTAAAATCCTTAACCACAATGACGACTATCGCCAATGAAACAGAACTGACATCATAAATTCTGAAGTTGGAAGAAACCTCAAAGCCATCACCTGGGTCTGGCCCCATGTCCTTCTGCAGGAACGATATTAATGTGTCCATTTCACAGATTAACGACTAGAGGCATAAGGAAGTTAAATGATCCAAGGTCTCACAGCTCCTAAGCACTGGCTAAAGAACTAAAACTTGGATCTCAAATACACAGACACAACATAAAAGGTGGTGGATAAATTAAGAGGCGGATAAATTGAGAGGTAGATAAATTAAGCAGAACTAAATAAGGTTAAACATTTGATAATAAACTATGTGGACTCAGGAAATGTCAAAGATTTTCATGAACAATTCAGACGAGGGCACCTAGGTGGCTCAGTCAGTTAAGCATCTGCCTTTGGCTCAGGTCATGATCCCAGGGTCCTGGGACTGAGCAGGGAGCCTGCTCTCCCTCTCTCTCTCTGTCCCTCTCTCTGCTCATTCTCTCTCTCTCTCATAAATAAAATCTTAAAGAAAAAAAAAAAGAATTCAGATCAAAGTTCTGCTAGCTGGGCAACACAATGGGTGATGATTCATTAACAGTGAAAGAAGAAAGTCTGCACATTCTTTGGGAGACCAGCAGATAGAAACAGGTTTCATAAATCGTCGAATTTCCACCAAGCCGGGGAACACCAAGGAGCTTCACATCCCACTCTCTCTGTGGCTCAGTAACCACCCATATGGCTCTGGTCCAGAGGGAATCGACACAGTTCATACCACACGGCTAGGCAGGCTCGCTAACCCAGCCTAGAAGACAGCAGTCTGTTCGCGGAAAAGCAGTGCTTAGTGCAATGCAACCCCACTGAGCATAGAGAACGAGTCACATGTAGTGGAGGGAAAGCCAGGAACAGACAAATAACATAAGAAGAGCTCAAATGAGGGGCGCCTGGGTGGCTCAGTTGGTTAAGCAACTGCCTTCGGCTCAGGTCATGATCCCAGGGTCCTGGGATCGAGTCCCACATCGGGCTCCCGGCTCAGCGGGAAGCCTGCTTCTCCCTCTCCCACTCCCCCTGCTTGTGTTCCTGCTCTCGCTGTCTCTGTCTCTGTCAAATAAATAAATAAAGTCTTTAAAAAAAAAAAAAAAAAAAGAAGAGCTCAAATGAGATCAATGGGACAGGCTAAAGACTGTGCATGAGGCAATACAATGTACCTAAGAATGGGCAATACTCCTGAGAAGGACTGACAGACTTCTGAAGCCTTAAAATTCCTAACAGCAAAGCCAGTCCACACTGGCCCCCGTGCCTCGCCGAAGACCTGGGAAGTACAGAACGGGCACCATCTCCAAGAGGCCATCAGGCTCCCTGAGATGACCAGACAAATCATTACTGTTCATGTCTGAAAAGCCAGTGGCTTAAGCCTCTCCCCAACCACTGACAATAGAAATAGCTTCAACCAGACCATCAGCCTCAAATATGAAAGGAAAGACACACCTCCTCAAATAAAGTGAGGACTGATTTCCAGATCCCCAGATGAACACGAGTCCTGACTTAGGACTCCGAAATGCTGATCCCTGCCTCCTGGGGTGCATGGTGGCACCAAAGGCAGAGAAAAGAGGATGTTTGAGACAAAAGTTGCACTGAATTTACTTGGAAGGCTGATTCTGTCTCCACTCCCTCCCTAGGAGACAGAGCTGGATTATATAACCTTAAGTTTGCCCACAAAATGCTCACGGCAGGGGATATGGCCTCCACCACTGGGTTTACACAGGTTTCAGCTCCCTGCTCAGACTTCAGACGGCCTCAGCCTCCTTCAGCCTTTCCCAGCCCGCACTGTAAAATGCCCTGCCTCCTGGTTCACTTTGGTTGCCTCTTTTTTCAGGTCTCAACTGGGAGCCACTCATAATTCATAGTAAAAATTCTCACGGCTACCGGGGTGCGGGGGTGGGGGGGGCGGAAATCTGCTAAGTTCAGGTGCTTCAAAGTAAATTGTGTACATTAGAATTTCACACACACAAAAATCATTGCTAGAGAATGGACTCTGGATCCCTTACATGTGGCCCTGGGAGGGGGATAGGACTGGGGGTGGAAAAAGTTCTGGTGGAAGGGCATGTGCTTTGCCATGGCAGCTCCCAGGCCCAGTCCTGACCACTGAGCCACTGCCCTTCTGTGGGTCAGAACAGGTCTCCCACCCGCCCGGCGCCCAGCTGGTCCATCTGGGGGAAAGAGGGCCTCTTCTAAATGTTAAAGAAGTCTCTGCTGACGACTCCTTCTCACCCCCAGCTCCAAAAGTACAAAAGCAAGTGGTCCTTCAGAGCCAGCTTTAGGAGGTCCGATTTTAGATAAGAAAAACCTCTTCACCCAAACTCTCTTTGAACTTCTTCATCTATGTATTTCATGAAAGACATCCAGAATTGCCTTCACCAACTTACTCTTTTATTAGGACTGACCTCTTACCTTCACTTGTGTAAGAACAAATGCAAGCTGGTACAGAGGTTGTGGAGATTGTGGAGATCAAGCACACCCAAGAGAACAAAACTTCCTAGGCTTAGATGGATGTCACCTTGGGTAGGAGGGCTGAGTCTGTTTCAGGTCCTCTGGGCACTGCAACAATGCACAAATGCAGCCTGAGAAGCTTCTGGATCAAAGGAGAGTCAAAGAGCCTCTGGTAACTAGGCCTAGGGTTCCTGGTCAATGCATTTATAGTACATTTTATGATTAAAAAAGAACAGCTGTTCTGGGGAACCTGAGATTTTATGGATCCCACATACATTATAGCACACAATTTTATTCAGGTGAAGAGGATACTGGTAACTGATAAATAACAACAACAAAAGACAAATCAGACTCACGTTTCTCCAGTGCTGGATTCCTAGGAAATGACACTCTTCTCTTCCTGCTTCTTTCCTGAATAAAAATGCAGCATAAAGTTCTGACTACAAATTTCTTTACAAGAGACCTTGTGAGTTCTGCAAGAGGAAGAGCCTAGAAGGAGAGGAGGAAATGAACATCAAGGTCCAGACACAAGAGAAGAAAGAGAAACGGTCGAGCTTCCCTCTCTCCCTGGTAGACTGGTATGAAGAAGGGTCAGATGCCAAGTGCCCTAAGGCTGCTTCCCTTGCGAAATGCTTGACTTCTGCCTCCTTTCAGCACTGCAGAGGGGTAAACACATTATTTTCTGTGGCTTCGATTCTGTAAAAGCGTCAGGTCTGACAGGAAATCACCCACACCTGATTAGCAGAACGCCAAGGAGAGGGAAGGGAGAGGACCTACTGAGAGAACAACATGCAGACACAGAGGAGCTGACTCAGGTATATCACAGACTCTGCAAAACAGATCCTGCTATCTTCAAAATGAGTATACAAAGTCGCCAACATGCCAAGAACAGTCACAGAAGAGTCCCGTTGCCCAATATCAAGGGAACACAGCCAACGATTTTGAATTAATATCCTCATAATTAAAACTGTAAATAGTAGGTAAAAGTGCCAAAACTCAGAAGAAAAAAAGATAAAAGAAATAATTAAGAAGATGAGGCAAGAAAAAGCAAAGAGATTGGAAAGGAGGGGAACCGTAATGGGAATAAATAATTCAGAGGGTTCAAAATCCAGTCTGTGCATAACCTTTCTCTCATCCGATTTCTGAGTTAATCTCAAAAGCAAAAAAAGGAATGTGGCTTCCATCTTGGCCCAGCTTCCCTCCCTGCTCTAAGGAAAGGCAGTTCCCATGTTGGCAGCTGCCCTATGGTGAGGCCCACGTGGCAGAACTGGAAGGGACCCCCAGGAAACAGCCAGAAAGGAAATGAGGCCCTCCGTCCAACAACCCTCAAGGAACTGAATCCTACCAAGGAGCTAGGCAACAGATCTTCTCCAATAAAGCATTCAGGTAATGACCTCTTAAAAGACCCTTAACCAAAACCACCCAACTAAGCTGCTCCCAGATTTTTAACTCAAAGTAACTGTGAAAAAAATAAATGTTTGTTGTTTTAAGCTGCTAAGTTTGGGGGTAATTTGTCATACAGCAATAGACAGCTAGAAAAACAGCTTTGAGGTAGGCAAAACTTTCTTAAATAAAACCCCAAAAGCATGAACAATAAAAGGAAAACATGATAGAATGGACTTCATCAAGAGTAAAAACTTCTGCTCTTCAAAAGATACCATGATGGGGCACATGGGAGGCGCAGTGAGTTAAGCATCTGACTCTTGATTTCAGCTCAGAATCACGACTCAGGGTGGTGAGATGGCGGCCCACATTGGGCCCCACGCTGGGCATACTGCCTACTTAAGATTCTCTCTCTCCCTCTGCCTCTGCCCCTCCCCACCTCTCTAAAAAACAAACAGAAACAAAACAACAAAAGATACCATTATGGAAAAAGCAAAAAAAAGAAGGAAAGAAAAAGACAAGCCATAGAACAGGAGAAGATATTTACAATACACTTATTTGACAAAGAACTTGTATCCAGAATAAAGAACTCTTACAACTCAGTAGTAACACAAACAACTTATTAAAATACGAGCAAAATATTGGGATAGACATTCCAAAAAAGAAGATATGAAAATAAACTGAAAAAAAAATGACTACAATAAAAAAAAGAGTATTGAACTCTTTGAACCCTCTGAATTATTTATTCCCATTACAAGTATTGGTGAGGACATGGAACAGCTGGAGCTGCCGGGATAGAAAATGGTACGACCATTTTGGAAAACATTTTAGCAGTTTCTTATAAACATATATGGTAGGGTAGCAATCTCACCCTGGAGGTTTATCCAAGAGAAATCCAAGAGCGCTTTATTTGTGACAGCCCCAAACTAGAATGTCCATCAACAGATAAATGGATGAACAAATGGCGGTATATCCCTACAATGGAATACTACTCAGCAATAAAAAGGAAGGAATTAGTACTACATGCCAAAACAGGGATAAATACAAAAAACGTTATACTGAAAGAAGCCAGACACAAAAGAGTACATACAACATGCTTCCATTTATATGAAACATTAGAAAACACAAACAAACGCTATAATGACAAAAATCAGGCCATTGGGGCTAGGGGTGGGGCGACCTGGCTGCAACAAGACTTTAGGAAATTTTCAGGGGTGATGGAAGTGTTATATTGTGCTGGTGATTGTAAGTGTGTATGCAATTGTCAAAATTCATCCAAATATACACTTAAAATGGGTGCATATTATTGCATTAAATTATACATCAAGAAAACATCAGCTTTGGGGCACCCGGGTGGCTCAGTCGTTAGGCATCCGCCTTCGGCTTGGGGCCCCAGGGTCCTGGGATCGAGCCCCACATCAGGCTCAGTGCTTGGCGGGAAGCCTGCTTCTCCCTCTCCCACTCCCCCTGCTTGTGTTCCCTCTCTTGCTGGGTCTCTCTGTCAAATAAATAAATAAAATCTTTAAAAAAAGAAAGAAAGAAAGAAAAAATCAGCCTTAAAAAAGTTATTAGGCATGTATCAAATCATCTGAAAACTTAAAACGTCCTGACTACTTTATTTCACCAACATATAAGTGACAGCACTATTATTATACTGAAAACCTACCAGGTAGTTGTAATAAAATTTAGAAATCCTGGATTTTATCATTTTCTTCCCTGATCCTCATTCCAATACCAGCCATTCAAATATTTAAAGAGTAACTACAATGTGCAAGTTGCTTAAAAAAATATATATAGTAAATAACTTTTATGAATGAAAGAATATTTAATTCCCACCTTGAAGTTGTCGCTTTACAACAATATATCTGGTAAGTGCTTATTTAAAATTCTAATTCGGATGGGAAAGAAGATGACAAAGTCAGACAGACACAGCCACTCTAAATTCCCGAGATTTTCCCAATCTGTACTGATGACTCCCCTATGCAGGATTGCATCATTCATTCATGCTGTTTGGTAACAGGCACCAGTGGGATAAAACAAGGGAAAACTACTCAAAAGTAAATTGATGAAAAGAAAGCCTTGAAATCCCATGAAATTTTTAAAAACCCGATTAAGAAAAATGCACGTAGATTCAGAGCCCTGGATGCGGAAAAGGCAGACTGGTAAATCAGAAAGCTGGGCACCCGGAGAGATAAACACATGCCCAGACTCACCCGGGTGCTGCTGTTCCTTCCTGGGCCGCCGCCACCGCCTCCCGGGCTCCCGCGACTCTAACCTTCCGACTGCGGGGGGGCCGAGGGCTGGCTCCGACCTTCAGTCGCGGAGATCCGAGGAGGTGACCTGTGCAGACCCGCAGAGCGTTTACCAAGCAGTCATATGAGATCTGCCGATGGTGGGGTGGTTTCTGGTAGGTTTCGCATGTGCTTTTCTAAACTGCGGACTGCACATTCACACTCCACAGAGCCGGGGGGGGGGGGCACAAGCGCCGGGCCCCGCCCCTGGGTGGGGCTCCCTGAGCCCGCCCCTCCGCCCCGCGGGGCTCCGGGCGGCCGCCCGAGACTAGCGCTCCGCCGTGGAGCCGGGAGCCTCACCGCCTCCACTTTGCGGAGGAGGGGCCGAAGCGCTCCCCGCCCGCACCACTAGAGATGAGGGTAAGAGAGAGAAGCCAGGGACCTCTGTGCTGATTTTGCAATTAACGAAGGCTCCTTAGGGACCTTTTCTGAATCCGCGTTTGCCCTGTTCTTCTAAGAATGTAGGTCTCCAAGAGAATTTCAGCAACTACTTATATTCATATTATATGCCAACTATACTTCAGTTTAAAAATATATATTATCAAAAGCAAAACTACTTATATTCGCAACTAAAATGCAGAAATCCATGAGTGACAAAATGAGTCTGCAGCCTTTTTCTTTTCTTTTTTCTTGTCATCTTATTTTCTTCTAGGTGTCATTTGCCTAGCTACTTTTAAGTTGACTATAATAAATGGGGTGAGCACCTCCAAACATTTACCTTTGGCTCAGCTGGCTGGAGCTGGGCACTGAGGTCCCGCCCTAAAACCCAACCTGAAACCTCAGATGCTAACAGTTCAGCTTCCCTACAAGTGGTCACTCAGGCAGAGGGGATGCAATTGCTGGAGCAGGACATGTGGTTACCGCATCCCTGCCCTTTGCTACAGAACCTCTCAAAAACACAATTCTATCCGGAACAGCAGTGCTGCTGCTCTTTAGTCAGGCGTGCCCTTGACATTCAGCAAGAAAATGGCGGCATGTTTGGGGCACACCTGGTTTAGTTTCTCCCAGATGGGTCAAAGAGGCTTCTGATCTGAAGAGTGGAGAGGAGGAATTTTGGTGTTTTGAAATACGAGCTAAAAAATGATACCACTAATGGGGGAGGGCAAAATAAGGGGATCTAAAGCAAGAATCTAGTCAAGAACCTGTTTATATTTTGTAGTAACTTAGAAATAAGCATAATAAAAGAACAAGATGTTAAACACCAAATATTTGTATATAGATGTAATATAAGTTATACAAGTATATATGTATATAAATATATTTAAGTATATAAGTATACTTGGTGTATATATATATATATATAATATATATATAAGTATAAATGGTAATTGAGTATTTCTAGGGGGAAAGAAACCCAAGTACAATAATGTGAAAAAGCAGTATTAATTTCTGCTATGTTCATATTTCATATATGTTTAATAATTTCAAATAAAATATTTGTACTGAATAAAATCTGTCAGCTACTCATGGTCTCTGTATCGCACCTGTACTAACACTTGTGGTCATGAGGTGGCAGTGTTGTAGACACAAACCACATTAAAAAAAAAAAAAAAAATGTCCAGAGGAAGCTAATGGGTGGTCACAGATACATGTAAGAATCACAAAGTAATCTTGCCTGACAAGCCCTAACTATACAAGCAGATTATAATATGCTTCATTGTTGTTCTTCTGGAATAATGTTAAATAGCACATGTGAGCCAAATACAATGCAGTATAATAAAAATATTAGCAAATTATTTGCAAAGTTTTAATCATAATTGGCTAGTAAGAAGTAATACAGGTAATCCTAGTAGTGTTCCTGAAAAATTTCCTATAGATCACAGTTTTATAAGCTAATATATTGACTGATGATTAACTGTGTTAGGATCATGTACTTTTTATTTTTTTTAAAGATTTTATTTATTTATTTGAGAGAGAATGAGAGAGAGAGAGAGAGAGCACGAGAGGGGCGAGGGTCAGAGGGAGAAGCCGACTTCCCCACTGAGCAGGGAGCCTGATGCGGGACTCGATTCCGGGACTCCAGGATCATGACTCGAGCCGAAGGCAGTCACCTAACCAACTGAGCCACCCAGGCGCCCTAGAATCACGTACTTTTTAAAAATTATTCAGTGCTAGGGGCGCCTGGGTGGTTCAGATGGTTAAGCATCTGCCTTCGGCTCAGGTCGTGATCCGGGGTCCTGGGATCGAGCCCCACATCGGGCTCCTGACTCAGCGGGGAGCCTGCTTCTCCCTCTCCCTCTGCCTCTCTCCCTGCTCATGCTTTCTCTCTCTCTCTCTGTATCTCTCTGTCTCAAATGAATAAATAAAATATTTTTTAAAAATTTAAAAAATAAAAATTATTCAGTGCTAATAAAATAGAGTAAGTTGGAACAATCACTCCAGAAAACAATATGATATCATTTAATACCACTGAACATGCACATTTTCTATGACCCAGCAATTCCACCTCTGCAGTGCACTCAGAAGAAACTCTTGCCCATGAGTAGCAGGAGTCACATATAAGAATGTTCACAACAATACTGTATACATATAAATAGTCATTGACCAGAAACTTAAAAAAGAGAGTATCATTTAATATCATAAATGATAACTTACAACATAAAATTCAGGATGGTAGTTATCTCTGGATACAGGAAAGAAAATGAGACTGGGAAGAAATTATAGATTTCTTTAATGGCAGTGAGTATATAGATTTTTTATATCTGTGTGTATATATAAAATATTTTATGATACATGTGATATTTGTATATCAATACATTAAATACCAATACACTGAAATATCATAAATGTTTTAAAAGAATATAGTTAAAGAAAAATACAACTTAATGTAAACATTGACATTCAAAATAAGTCACACCATGGAAATATGTCTATGATGTGTCCTGTGAGTGAGGCAGACTGCAGAACAATATATATTTGTCGATTCCCATTTCTGAAAGAAGAAAACTCTGTGTATATCAATAGTAATTCTGGCAAGCAATTAATTCTGGGGAGTAAAAGGAATGAAGAATTTACCTTTCTAATTTATTTGGTTTCATATTGGTTGAGATTAGTTTAAAAACATTTTTTACTTTTGTAATGATTTGTGAATCAATTAAAACTAAATGCTTTAGGAGTAGGGGGAGGGTGAAATAGGTAAAGGTGGGCAAAAGGTACAAATTTCCAGCTATAAATAAGTAAGTTATGGGTATGTAATTAAAATGAGAAAAACTCAGTTTTTTCCTTCCCATGTAGGAAGCAAAACCCAATTCTTTCCTCCTGTGTTGTCTTTTACTACTGACACAAAACACTTTACTTCTGTGGAAGTTTTACCCCATATCAAATAATTCTCTGCAACACCAGCTGTATATCCTATTATCCTATAATTTAACTCAGTTTTTTTTAAGATTTTTATTTTATTTAAGAGAGAGAGAGAGAGTGAGAGAGAGCATGAGAGGGGAGAGGGTCAGAGGGAAAAGCAGACTCCCCGCCGAGAAGGGAGCCCGATGTGGGACTCGATCCCGGGACTCCGGGATCATGACCTGAGCCGAAGGCAGTCACTTAACCACTGAGCCACCCAAGCACCCTAATTTAACTCAGTTCTGACACTATCTTCTTAAAGCATAATATCCCACAGGTTAAGGGCTCAGTCCCACAAGACTGCCCCCCTCCACACACACACTTCAGATACCAGTTATCATCTGTGCTTCTGACCAATTGGCTATAGATCAGAGGTTCCGGTGACCCCCTCCTTAGGTTTAATTGATTTGCTAGAGTGGCTCACAGAACTCAAGAAATACTTACATTTACCAGCTTACTACAGGATACAGATGGGCAACCAAATGAAGAGATACACATAGGGTGAAGTCTGGGAGAGTCCCAAGTGCAGGAGCTTCAGTCCCCATGAAGTTGGGGTGTTTCACCCTCCCCATGTGGATGTGTTCACCAACCTGGAAGCTCTTTGAACCCCATACTTTTGGGATCTTATGGAGTGTTCATCACATAGGCATGATCGATCATTAACTCCATTTTCAGCCCATCTCTCTTCTCAAGAGAATGGGGGGCAGGGCTGAAATTCCAAGCTTCTAATCGTGGACTGGTCTTTCTGGTGACTAGGTTTCATCCAGAAGCCCACCCAGAGTTGCTCTATTAGAACAAAAGACACTCAGGGCACCTGGGTGGCTCAGTCAGTTGGGCATCTGCCTTCAGCTCAGGTCATGAGCCCAGGGTCCTGGGACTGAGCACCCGGAGGGCACCCTGCTCAGCAGGGAGTCTGCTTGTCCTTCTCCCTCTGCCCCCCTCCCTTGCTGCTCATGCTCTCTCTTACTCTCTCTCACACATGAATAAATTTAAAAATGTGGTTTTTTTAGATTTTATTTATTTATTTTTTGACAGAGAGAGAGACAGCGAGAGAGGGAACACAAGCAGGGGGCATGGGAAAGGGAGAAGCAGGATTCCCATGGAGCAGGGAGCCGATGCAGGGCTCAATCCCAGGATCCCGGGATCATGACCCAAGCCGAAGGCAGACACTTAACAACTGAGCCCCTAAATAAAAAATCTTAAGAAAAACAACTGAGCCCCTTGGGGCGCCTAGGTGGCTCAGTCATTAAGCGTCTGCCTTCGGCTCAGGTCATGATCCCGGGGTCCTGGGATCGAGCTCCGCATCAGGCTCCCTGCTCCGCAGGAAGCCTGCTTCTCCCTCTCCCACTCCCCCTGCTTGTGTTCCTGCTCTCGCTGTCTCTCTCTCTGTCAAATAAATAAATCTTTAAAAAAAAAAAAAACAACTGAGCCCCAGGTGCCCCTAAATAAAAAATCTTAAGAAAAAAAAAGGAACAAAAGACACTCTTATTACCCAGGAAATTATAAGGGTTTTAGGAACTCTGTGTCAGAAAGAGAAGTCAAAGACCAATATTAAAACAAGAGATGCTTCCGGCATTCCTATCACTTAGGAAATAACAAGAGTTCTGAGCTCTGTGCCAGGAACCAGGGGCAAACCAATATATATTTTCTACTATTTCACTGTAACGTACAACATGGTTGCAGAGT